GTTGAGCTGTTGTTCAGCATCTTAGCTGTAGAGGGCTGTGTCACTGGCCCTCATATGTGGGATCTGAACCGGGGCCCTCTGGCGTCCCAAGCCAGCTCTTAACCAACGCGCCACTCGGCCGGCCCTCAAGATAATTTTGAATTTTGAATTTTAATAACTTTGAATCTTTAAGAAGAGCAGTGCGGCCAGTTAGCTCAGTTGGTAAGAGCACGAGCTCTGATCAACAGGGCTGCGGTTCGATTCCCACACAGGCCAGTAAGCTGCACCAGTAAACTGCGCCCTCTATAGGATTGTGAAAAACTGCTCGAACTGGAGCTGGGCTGCCCTGAGTGGCCGGCGGCTGCTGTGAGCTACTGGGAGCCGTGGCCGGTAGCAAGCGTGAGCGGCCGGCAGCCGACGAGAGCTGCCGTGAGCCACTGTGAGTGCTTGTCTGATGGGCGGTGACTGACTGCCTCAGCCGGGAAGAGCACAATGATCACAATACCAACATGGGCCAGTGAGGCGACGTCCTCCACAACTAGACTGAAGAACAACAGCTTGGAGGTGGGAAGGAGGGAGGGGGAAATGAGCAGCTGTGGGTTAAATAAGTAAATCACTGTAAAAAGAAACACCAACTACTCTGCACTCTAAATTCAGTGTATAATAATTGGGAATTCAATAGTTTGGTCTTAGACATTCGCTAGTTTATAAACTTCAGTCAGTGCTTTTATAAACTCTACTTTTTAGCTGAATTTAGAAAGATATAACTCTGAGGGGCATTTTTATTAGGTTGGTGCAAAGTAATTGCAGTTCCAGACCGTGAATTTTAAATCATAATAACTAGGCTTAAGCACATCTTTATTAATCAAAATAGGAACCATTATAATCAACACATTTTTTTGCCAATGAGAAACGTTGGTTTATTCCTGTAGCGTGAAAATCTGTGCTTCAGGATTTGACGAGCTCTTGCAAAGCATTTTCTGCATCCTGCTGGCTGTGGAAGTGTTTTCCCTGCAAAAAGTTGTCAAGATGCTTGAGGACATGGTAGTCGGTTGACAAGAGGTCAGGTGAATACAGCAGATGAGGCAAAACTTCGTAGCTGAACTCGTTGAACTTTTGAAGCATTGGGCGTTGTCGTGGAGAAGAATTGGGCCCTTTCTGTTGACCAATGCCGGCTGCAGGCATTGCAGTTTTGGTGCATCTCATTGATTTGCTGAGCATACTTCTCAGATGTAATGGTTTCGCTGGTATTCAGAAAGCTATAGTGGATCAGACCGGCAGCAGACCACCAAACAGTGACCATAAGCTTCCCCCTCTCTTTCCCCCCTGCCTTCCCTCCCACCTCTGAGCCCTTGTTCTCAGTCTAGTTGTGGAGGACGCTGCTCACTGGCCCATGTTGGTATTATGATTATTGCGCTCTTCCCGGGAGAGGCAGTTGGTCACAGGCCATTGGACGCCCGCTCACGGCAGCTCACTGCAGCCCATGGCAGCTTCACAGCAGCACAAAACAGCTCACGCCATCTGCCAGCCACTCACAGCCACCCAGCTCCAGGTCAAGCTGTTTTTCACAATCTTAGCTGTAGAGGTGCAGCTTACTGGCGCAGTTTACTGGCCCATGTGGGAATCGAACTGGCAGCCCTGTTGTTCAGAGCTCGTGCTCTTAACAACTGAGCTATCCGGCCACCCGCCATGACCTTTTTTTGATGCAAGTTTGACTTTGGGAAGTGCTTTGGAGCTTCTTCTAGGTCCAACCACTGAGCTGGTTGTTGCTGATTGCAGTATACAATCCACTTTTCGTCGCACGTTAAAATCAGATCGAGAAATGGTTCATTGTTGCATAGAATAAGAGAAGACGACACTTCAAAATGAAGGTGTTTTTGATTTGCGGTCAGCTCATGAGGCACCCACTTATCAAGCTTTTTTACCTTTCCAATTTGCTTCAAATGCCAAAAGACTGTAGAATGGTCAATGTTGAGTTCTTTTGCAATTTCTCATGTAGTTGTAAGAGGATCAGCTTCACTGCTTGCTCTCAATGGGTTGTTGTGAACTTCCGATGGCCAGCCACTACACTCCTCATCTTCAAGGATCTTGTCTCCTTTGCAAAACTTCTTGAACCACCATTGCACTGTACGTTCATTAGCAGTTCATGGGTCAAATGCATCATTGATGCTGTGAATTGTCTCAGTTGCTTTACAACCCATTTTGAACTGGAATATGAAAATCACTCGAATTTGCTTTTTGTCTACCATCATTTCCATAGTCTAAAATACAGATAAAATAAACTGCAAGTAATAAGTCATTAGCATAAAAGCATAGAGAGAAATGCACATTAAAATGATGTATAATATAACCACATTTATTTAAGAATGTATTCCAATATCAAATGGCAAATTTCAACAATGAAAAACTGCAATTACGTTTGCAC